CTCTCTCTCTCTCTCTCTCTCTCTCTCTCTCTCTCTCTCTCTCTCTTCTCTCTCTCTCTCTCTCTCTCTCTCTCTCTCTCTCGGTGTTAATGCTAGTTGAACTATTTCACAGGGCCGGCAGTGTTATTCCTGCATGGTTTTTGTGAGATATGGTATTCATGGCGCCACCAAATGGTGGCATTGACAGCTGTTGGCTTCCATGCAATTGCCCCCGATTGGAGAGGCTATGGCCTCTCTGATTAGCCACCCGAGCCCGAGAAAGCCACCTACATGGACCTCATAAGAGAATTCATCACCATTCTTGACTACTTCAGCATCCCAAAGGTATAAAAACAACAACAATTTTGGGGTGTTTATTACCTTCTCTTAGTATTTCTCATGGAGTCTTATGTGCAGGCGTTTGTTGTTTTTTTTTTGGGGGTAATTCAATGGGAAAGACAGTCCCCTACCCGTTTTTTTAAATGGTTTAGGAGTTAGTTTTTTTAAGATGTCAGTGGGGTGGTGTAAGTGGGAATGGAAATCACAACATGGTGACTAGGGTATAGGGTGCTACCATCACGACCCTACCCCCTTTCCCAGCAGGCGTTTTTTGTTGGAAAGACTTTGGAGCTATTCCAGCTTACCAGTTTGCAATCATTCATCCTTAGAGAGTTTCAGGACTTATCACACTGCGTGTACCTTATATGATTCCTAGTGCACTCGCTCAGAGTCATCAAATTTCCCCGAAGGATTCTACATGTTAAGATGGCAGGTGCAGTATTACCCCATCTCTCTCTCTCTCTCTCTCTATTTATTTTAAACAAGAATTCTTTATTTTAAACAAGAATCATTGACTTTAGAGTTCATCACTGCTGAACTTGGATCACCCATCCTACTTACTAGTAATACTCTTCTTGCACCAAATGAGTATGTAAATTCGAAATTGGGCTGGGAATGCATCCAACAACTCTTGTTTATCACATCCTTTACTAGTAATACTCTTCTTGCACCAATTTGGCCTTTGCTTATTGGGTTACACATATACCAATGTGCGATTATCTGCAAATAATAGAGAAAATTCCAGTAATTTTAGAAGTTTGATTGGAACATATGAAAAATGGTAATTTTTTATCTGATCTTGTTTGTTTTAGATCCATAAATTTGCATAAATTCAAAGAGCAGCCCTATTAAAGGGAGAGTATTGGTGTCATAGTTACCTAAGTTGTAGTGGAACCCCCATAGATTGTGAACCAAACTTGCAAACAAAATCACCACTTGGCTGAACCAGCACTTAATTTCACAATATAAGTTGCAAATGCATACCGTAGAGACAAGGTGATTATTGTGGGAACTAGAGAGAGGATCTACATATTTGAGTTTTGGCATTCAAGTACCAAGTAGTCCATAGAGGCATTCAGTCACCAACTAGCCAGTAGCTCAAGGCTCATCTCGCTACAATGACACGTATCAAATAACTTCATGTTTTTCCCACAGTTTCCCCCAATACTCTGTGAATTTTAGAATCAAAACTAATGTATGGTTTCACCCCTAGTTTATGCTGATTGGCTCTTTGATTAGGTCCTCAATTAATATAAAATCAGATATATATTCAAAATATACCATGCCATCATAACTTCCTAATGTTTTCTTCCCAATTAACAATTCTAACTGTTATGTGCACTATGATGCATTGCCCGCTGTGCAGGAGCCAGGGCGTGCTGAAGCCAATTTTGGGCACTTGGATGTTAAGTCAGTCATAAGGAACATATATATACATTTCTCACGCAGCAAACTTCCAGTTGCCAGTGAAAATGAAGAGATAATGGACTTGGTCCGTCCATCAACTCCCCTACCAACCTGGTTCACCGAGGAAGACCTCTCTGCCTATGCTTCTCTTTACAAGAAGTCAGGGTTCCGTTTTGCCCTATAGCCATTTTGAAAGGTAAGATTTGGCGAAGATCTTTCTCAAAGCATCCTTCTGATAATCGTGAATAGAAGTTTCCAATCTGTATTGAACCCACCTTTTCATGTGTATTATCTGTGAGATCATGGTCAAAGGTAAGCCTTGGTAAGGTTCTTTCTGAAGGCACCATTCTGATAATCAACAATATCAAATTCCAATCTTTACTGATTCTTGTTGTCAATATTATTGAATTATCTACTAGATCATGGTGAAAGATAAGCTTTGGCAAGGCTCTTTTTCAGAGCACCATTCTGATAATTGAGAATGTCAATTTCAAATCTTTATTGAACACATCTTTTCATAACTCATATATTATCATATTATCTTCTAGATCATAGTGAAAGGTAAAGTTTGGTGATGATCCCTTTCAAAGCACCATTCTGATAATTGAGAATGTCGATTTCCAGCCTGCGTTGAGCACATGTTCATGTAATTGTTGGGTTATCTGCTAGTACATAATGAAAGGTAAGCGTTGGCAAGGATCCTTTTCAAAGCACCATTCTCTGATAATTGAGTGTGTCAATTTCCAATCTTTCCATATATTATTGTATCATCTGCCAAATCATTGTGAAATGTAAGCTATGGCGATGATTCTTTCAAAGCACCTTTCTGATAACTGAGAATGTCAATTTCCAAACTTCATTGAACATCTCTTTTCAAATATTATTGTATCACATGCTGTGTCATGGTGAAAGGTAAGCTTTGGTCAGGATCGTTTCAGTGCACCATTCTTATAATTCAGAATGTTAATTCCCAATCCCTATTGAACCCATCTTTTTGTATACTATTGTACTATGTGGTAGGTCATGGGAGGATGGGGCCGACCATCCAATGGCAACAGATTTGAAGGCAAGAGTCCTGGCCCTGCTGGTAATGGGCAATAAAGACCGTCCCCTGAAATTCCCAGGAATGGAGGATTATATAAACAGTGCTCTATTGAAGGAGACTGTGATCTGGAGATCGTGTTCATGCCTGAAGGAACCCATTTTGTTCAGGAGCAACACCCATTTTTCAAGCTATCACAAAGTTTTCCAGTATTGAAACATCTTTCAATACTATTTGAAGGTGCGCTTTACTTTGATTATTCAAGACCTCAGTCTCATGCAAACCACACCCTTGAAGTAAACCAACAACCAGTAGCCAGTAGCCATTTCTTACTTTTGACGAACCCCCCCGCCGCAACCGCAGCCCACCCTTTTCCGCTCTCACTCTCTCTCTTTCTCTTCTTCTTCTTTACACAAGAATCTTCCAGTCCGAGCCAAATTATAAAACTCCAAATTATCCATTGTGACTCATACCAATAGATGAGTCCACGGACTCACCATAACCTACTCCTTCTCTAATTTGTATGGGACAAGGTTTCCCTTTCAAAGACCTACCTCAATTTTCATTTTTCAAAGACCACCTCTAAATCATTGACTCTGGCCAATGGTGTGGGGGGCAATGGAAGCATAATAAAGATTGAACAGAGTGACATCTTTGTTGAGAAGGTAAGAGAGTATTCTCTATGCAGATGATACATACAAGATCAAAGCAGAGTGGACCCTACAACTACAATAAAGAGTAAGAAAGTAGATTTTTTATATTCATTTCATATAGAAATTGAATAAAAAATGTGTTTGGGCATGAGTGGTTAGTTGTTCACGATGGAGCTGAATTATAAATTATAAATTTAATGTTGGTTGTTCAGGGTTGGGAACACATGAATTGTAAATTAGAAATTGCCTTTCCTTCTATATTACAAACTTTGAAAATTAGGCTATTTTGATGGAAAAATTGCATAAACCCCCAAAAGTAGACAATCTAGGCACCTTACCCCTACCCTAACTTTTCTCAGCATATTTTTTCCCAAAATATAGCAAATACTCCCCATCTAAAACAGAGTGAAATAAAGACCAAACTACCCTCCCCTTTTTTTTTTGCCCTAAAACCTTTTCTTTTTCTTTTCCCTAACCTTTTTCCCTCACGATTTTCCCCTTTCCCTCTTGACCGATTTTCCCTTTTCCCTCTCTATAGGGCTCGCAATTTCCCATTTCTCTCTCCACCAAGCTCATGATTTTCCCCTCTCTCTACCAGGGCTCATGATTTCCCCTTTCTCTCTCTACCAAGGCACAACACGAATCCATTTCTCTCTCTACATGGGCACAAGAACGTATTTTCTCTCTCTAGTTGGGCACAACATGAGGGGCGTTTCTCTCTCTAGTGGGGCACAACACGAGCTCTTGTTTCTCTCTCTTTCCCTCACGATCTACTTTTTTATTCTCCCTCTCTCTACAAACCTCATCACCGATTTGTTGTCTCCCTCTCGCTCTACCAAGGCCCTACTCACTCTCTCTACTGAGGCCAAAACTCAACTTTTCTCTCCATCTCTCTTTCTACCAAGATCCCACAAAGCACCATGTTTTTCTTTCCCTCTCTCTCTACGATCGAAAGTCCGACAACTCTCTCCTTGTCTCTACGAAGCTCCCGCAGAGCACTGCTCTCTCTCGAAAGGAATCCCATCAAAGGCCGAGGTTGATTTCTGAGCCCCATGTATGAAAGAGTATTTCAATATAATATTTAGAAGCATTTTTTATCTAATATCTATGTTGTAACTTCAACTTTCGGGGTAAAGCTTAGCATGTGAAAACCTTTTCCTTAATCATTTGAAGAGAAAATGTAGATCGAAATGTGGATCAGAAGCTTGTTGATTGTCTTTAAATTTATGTTGTTTCTTTGCATGGAATGAAAGCTTTATGATCATTGTGTATTCTTGAAAGCTTTATGATCATTGTGTATTCCTGAAGGGTTGAAAGACTATTTTATTTAAATTTTTTATAAAAGATATATAT